GAAGCCAAAGGACTCTAGTCTTTTCTTAGCTTGGCAAGAAACACTTTTAAAAAAATATATCTTGCAGTCCTCAATGTGCTTTTCATAATGTGTAGAAGGGGTGGGTGGCACTTAAAAAAGAGCTTTAGAATACCATAGAAGAACAGAGTTAGAAGGGACCTTGGAGGTCTTCTAGTCCAACCTCCTGCCCAGGCAGGAAACCCTACACCACTTCAGACAACTTTACATGTGGACATTTCTACCCCTGCCAAAGGTGTGTAGGGAGGGTTTCCACAATTGTACGTGAGAGATTGTTGTCAGTGGGCCAGGTTTTTTTTCCACAGCTGCCCAACTGAATTCAGATTGACAGAGGAGAATATTTATAGCTCAGGGCTGAATGGTGGTGTCCTGGGTGCTCCCTGAGCTGGGTTGTTTTCTTGGAGACGTTTAATCGCCTATCTAGGTCACATCATCAGTGCCAGAAGGGAGTGGGGTTTTTCTAGCACTGATGATGTTACCCAGTTGGGTCATGAAACGTCTGCAAGAAAGCACCCAAGCTCAGAGAGCACCAAGGACCCCACAGTCCTCCTCCTCCTCCTTTTCCTCTTCCTCCCTGAAAACCCCCTCCCTTCTAACACTGATGATGTAACCTAGTTGGGTAATGAAATGTCTGCAAGAAAGCAACCAAGCTCAGACAGCATTAAAGACTCTTCCTCCTCCTCCTCCTCCTCCTCCTCCTCCTCCTCCTCTCTGCAATGTCCACTCCCTTCTAGCCCTGATGATGTTACCTAGTTGGGTCATGAAACGTCTCCAAGAAAGCCACCAAACTCAGAGAGCACCCAGGACCCCCGAATATGGATGTAAAGCCAACCATTTGTTGGGTCGTTGGGAGGACTCAATTGGAGATCGAGTGTCCCCGTGCCTGATCCCTCCTGGGGGTGGGGGTGGGGAGAGGATGAGTTCTCCGGAACCAGAGGTTGTCGAAATATGGCCGTGGCCCCACTTGCCCAACCCGTATCTAACGGCCAACCCCTGAAATGCGCGAGGCCCGAAGCCGTCGGACTTACCGAACGAGAGGACGAAAAAGAAGGGCAGCCAGCAGAGAATGAAGACCCCGACCACGATGGCCAACGTCTTGGCTGCCTTCTTCTCCCTGGAGAACTTCAAAAGCCGGACGGAGAGGGAGCTCCGGAAGGTGTGCCTCTTGGTGCTGGCCAAGGAGTCCTCCAAGACGTTGCGGCAATGGATGCGGAGCACCACTTCCATGGACTTGCTCCGCTCCTTCTTGACGCCGGCTTCGAGGTTCTTGGTGGTCCTTCTGGCCACCACGTAGATGTTGAAGTACATGACCAGGATGACCAGGAGGGGCAGGTAGAAAGAGAAGAGGGAGGAGAAGAGGGCGTAGCCGGGCTCTTCCGTGATGGTGCAGAACTCCTCGCTCTCGGGAGGGTCTTCCTTCCAGCCCAAGAGGGGACCGACGGAGATGATGGCGGAGGAGAGCCAGACCAGCCCCAGGATGACCACGGCCTTCTTCTCCGTCATGATGGCGGGGTACTTGAGGGAGTGCTTGACCCCAATGTAGCGGTCCACCGAGATGATGCAGAGGCTCATGATGGACGCCGTGCAACACAGGACGTCCACGGCGGCCCAGATGTCGCAGAAGACGCGGCCGAAGACCCAGAGGTCCAGCACCTCCAAGGTGGCCGAGAAAGGCAGGACGGTGGTGCTGAGAAGCAGGTCGGCGATGGCCAAGTTGACGATGAAGTAGTTGGTGACGGTCCTCAGGTGGCGGTTGCAGGCCACCGAGAGGATGACCAAGATGTTGCCCACAATGGCCAGGAGGATGAAGGCGGCCAGGAAGAGCCCCACGCCCACCGACTGCAGGCTCAGTCCCGGGGTTACGACGGAGGCGCCGCCGCCGCTGCTGTTGGAGAGGGCCTCTTCGGCGCTCCAGGACGAGCTGTTAATCCCGCCGCCGCCGGCGTCTCCCGTGTGGTTCCCATGCAAGCTGGCATTAATCCGGTCAGAGAAAGTCATTCTTTTTCAAAACGGCTCGGTCTCCATCGGGCGGGATGGACGGAGGCTCAGCGACGCCAATGGGGAGGGGGAGAGATGCTGGGCAGCCTGGTCTCTCTCCCACGGGCCCCCCAGTGCCCCCCCTACCACATCCCGGGAGGAAGGTTGAGCCCCTGTTGAAAAATCCCAAAGCCCCCTCCCCCCTTTATAAGCATATGGAGACAGCCCCTCCTTCCTTCTTTCCTTCCTTCCTCTTTTCTTTCTTTCTTTCTTTCCTTCCTTCCTTCCTTCCTTCTTAGTTTCTTTCTTTCTTTCCTTCCTTCCTTCCTTTCTGTCTTCCTTCCTGTCTGTCTGTCTTTCTTCCTTCCCTCCTTCTTCCTTCTTTCCTTCCTTTCCTTCCTTCCTTCTTTCTTTCTTTCCTACCTTCTTTCTGTCTCCCTTCCTTCCTTTCTGTCTGTCTTTCTTTCTGCCTTCCTTCTTCTTTCCTTCCTTCCTGTCTGCCTGTCTGCCTGTCTTTCTGTCTTCCTTCCTTCCTTCCTTCCTTCCTTCCTTCCTTCCTTCCTTCCTT